ATGTTGAAGCTTTTATTGCTCATAATATCTTAAAAACCTTTTCCTTATCTTATAAACATGTGATTTTGGGTTTTTATGTTAAGGATCGCTCTTTAAAAGATGCTGGTTTTATTATAAATTTTATTTTATTATTATGTAAATTTCACATACATAAATCCAAGTTTTCCAAAAGCAAACCTCTCTTCATGGTGTTAGAAAAAGAGATTCAAATGTATATAAAAGTGATTTCCAAGTCTCAAAATAGAAAAGCAATTAAAACAATTAATATATGCTCCTCCTTTAACATTTTTACATAAAATGTTTGTATATATGCATTTCCTGTAAAAAAAAAAAGTGCATTACTAACTCTTGTAAATAACTAAAATTATAAAATGTGCGAAACATATTTGTATGTAATTTGATAATTATGTACCCTCTCCTCTGTTATTTTATTTATTTTTTGTTTTTTTTTCTCTTCTTTGTTTTTTCACTTATTTCATTCTTGTTAGGAAATGTAAAGTGATTGTATTGTATTGTATAAGAAAACTGTACATGCTGGTTCTTGTTAAAAAAACAAAACAAAAAAAAACTAATGCTTTAATAAACTGTGCTAATCATTCACTTACAATAGCATTATAGTTCACTATTATCCAGCAAGTTTTTACGCAGCGGATGCCCTTCCAGCCGCAACACATCTTTGGGAAACATCCACACACACACACACACACACACACACACACACACACTCATACACTACAGACAATTTAGTCCACCCAATTCACCTGTACCGCATGTCTTTGGACTGTGGGGGAAACCGGAGCACCCGGAGGAAACCCACGTAAAGGCAGGGGGAAAATGCAAACTCCACACAGAAACTGCGCTACTGCCTCGCCACCTTCACTATTGGAATTCATAACTTGATAATCCATTGTCTGTAATATTTTTTTTGCATGAGTAAAATTTGCATTTCACAGATTTTTCGTAATAATTAAAACAATGGTAAATCTGATAAATGATTAGAAATGATCCTTATATCAGGGATTATTCATTGCAGTCTTCTTGTTTTGTTTTAATTCATTGATGCAAATTAGGTCTGTAAATCATTTTTCATTATTCTGTAAACATTAAATGAGATCTGAATCACTAACCCTAAACAAAAGAGTTTTTGAATTAGAAACACTCAATAATATGAATCAGTCTTTCAGTTCAAGCCTGCTGCAGTCGCTCTTCTTCTTGGAAAGGTCAGTGCTGATCCTTGTTCTGCAGATTCTGATGTTTTAAATCTGCTTGTGGTGTTTTATTTATTTGTATATGGGTGTAGGGTCCACCCAGTTGGTCCAATGACGGTATCCAATGGTGGATGAAGGTTCACTGCATGTTCGGTCTTTCCAGTGCACAATATTGATTTATATTAAACTTAACTCATATCTGACTCCAATTTTAGTATGAGGTGGTTTAGAATATTAATATATTTATCCTCGTTTTATCTGACTCCAATTATAAAACATTGATAAGATTATTTTGTTTCCTTTCACATTATTTTAGATTATGATTGAATATTCTTTTGATTTGTTATTATACCTTATTCTCATTTACTCAGATTCCTATAGCATCTCGAGTCTTGCACCGGCCGGGTATACAATCTCTTAATACAAGCTTGTCAGTCTTGGTCATTAAACAGAGGCGATTAACCACTCTCCTAAAGTGGCAGAACCCTATACTTACTATATTTAGGAGATTTTTTATGTGGTCCGCATAAGTATACTTGAATTAATGCCAATATGTTAGTCGGATCTCTAGCAACATTGTATAGCGTGCCACACTGCTCCGTCTAACATGTTTTAGTCCGTTACTAACCTGTACAGTGGCTTGTAGTGCTATGGACAACAACATTTATCAGTGATAATAACACGAGGACTGTTTGAATAATTCAAAACATAACAATTTATTAGTCAGGTAAATGTGTATTATGCCAATTCAATCAGTCAATTCATAAAAGATCAATAAATACATCAAGTTACCAAAGATAAATCCAAGATTAAAAGATGCATTCCTGACTTTAAAATATACATAACATGGAGCATAAGCTCCATGTTACGGGCTGATCGGGGTAAGCAGAATCGCGCTGAGCCTTTCTCAAACCTTACCTTAAGTAATCCAAGAATTCCCTCAAGGACAGGGGTGTGAGCATAACAAAAGACATTTGCATTTAGTGCTGCCTGTGGAAAAGTCACACCCTTCACAGTGGTTCAAAAGATGCCTGAAGTTATATATTTATTGTTTTGATTATGTCTATTTCTGAGAGAATGAGACCATTGTACCAATCGCACTGAGACATTTCAAATGATATCAAACATGATAGATAAAGTCACTTAGGTTAATCTGAAACATTCAAACATTGAAATGACCATATGTGTGAGTTGGGGTGGTTGAAGCCGAGTTTCAGCAGACTCAGATGCAAATGCAGCAGGAATTGTTTTTTCCCGCATTCCCACCTGCTGGGTTGTGGTCAACAGTCTCTGTTTTCAGCTCATGTTTTGAATTGTCAAAGACATCAAAAATATTTGTAATATTTCAATTCTTACATGGGCTTATTTTTGTGATGAAGAAACCCACAGTAATGATAATAAACGAGTGGATTGTGACAGATCCACAGATGCTTTCAGATTTGTGCTCATCATCTATAAGATTTATCCTTTCTCTTTTTTATTACAGGTTTTTACAATTGTTTTGCCACAAATTTCAGAACTTTGGTTTTCAAAAGTCTAGACACAAAATTCACAACCTTTGCCAAAATTGTACATTTTTGCAAAACTTTTAACTCTTTTTTCAAATGCTTGGATACAACACACACAAGTCAAACATACTTTATTCATTGAACTCAGATCACCTTTTCAATATAACACAATTAAACTTCAAATTGATCCCATTTCAAAATGCAACTCAAACATTACATTTGAAATAACCATGTATTCATTTACTTCACATGATGTTATTATCAACTGATACAAGCACTCAAAATGATGAATAACTGCTGCATTATTGTTGATGTGGGGAAACTGATGTACAATATTACATGTTTAGATGATGAAATAATCAGGATAGATCAAATGACATCAGTTACCACAGAAGATGACCCAACTGAACTACATTATCTATAGATGTCATCTTTATTCATCCTTAGTCCATATTTATGGTTTCTTTGTTCTGTGTACCACTTTTACAGACAATGTTTATATATTTGACATCACTGTAAGAAAGCCCAG